TTCTGTCATCTTTATTCACTGTTCAGCTCTCAGATGCATAACAAGTGATCAGAAAGACTATGGCCTGAATCAGAGGCATCTTCCTCCTCAAACTGACATCATTCCTCCTCAATAATTTGAAGATGTCTCTAACTGCAGATTTTCCCAGTGCAGTGTGTCTCCTTATTTTCTGACTGCTGGTACTAAAGGTGTTAAGTGTGGATCCAAGCAAGATGAAGCTGTTGACAGTTTTAATCTCTTTTCCATCCATCATGATGTTGCCAATTGGTCCAAGGGTAAGAATCTTTGTTTTCTTGACAATGAGATGCAATCCATACCAAAGGCTACATTCCTTGATCATCTGCAACAAGTATTTCAAGTCCTCACTTTAATAACCAAGGTTGCGTCATCTGCATAGCACAGGTTGTTGATGAGTATCCCTCCAATCTTGATGCCGCATTCTTCTTCATAGAGTCCAGCTTCTCAAATAATTTGCTTAGCATACAGATTGAATAGATATGGAGAGAGACTATAACCCTGACACACTCTCTTCTTAATTTTAAACCATTTGGTGTTCCTCTGCTCCATTCACACAACAGCCTCCTGGGCCAGATGTAGATCTCACATAAGCTCAATTAAGTCTCTGGGTCTCCCATACTTCTCAATGTCAGCCACAACTAATGGTAATAAAGGAGGAAATGGAAGCTGCATTGAAGACTTTGGGAAAAATAAGGCCCCAGGAATTGATGGGATACCAGTTGACTTGTTTCAATTAACAGATGCAACTTGGATGTGCTCACCAGTCTATGCCAGGAAATTTGGAGGACACCAGTCTGGCCAACGGATTGGAAGAGGTCCATATTTGTTCCCATTCCTAAGAGAGGTGATCCAACAATGTGGAAACTATCAAACATGATCATTCATATCACATGCAAGTACAATACTGCAGAGATCATTTAAAAATAGCTGGAACAATACATAGATAGGAAACTGCCAGACGTTCAAGCAGGATTTAGAAGAGGCCATGGCACCAGAGACATCACTGGTCATGTCAGATGAATCCTGGCTGAAAGTAAAGAATACCAGAAGAGTGTGTGTTAATGCTTTATTGACTTGCAAAAGCATTTGACTGTGTGGATCATAACAATTTCTTGTAATGGTTGTTGTTGGTAGGTGCCATTCAGTTGAGTACGACTCATAGCAACCCTAAAAGAAATATCTGAACCCAGTCCTGTCCTCTGCCATCCTCAGACTTCCTGGCATTCAAGAGCCCATTGTACTAATCATCGTGTCAGTCTACCTGGTTGAAGGTCTTCCTCTCCTTGGCCAGACCCCCCCCCCTTGCCAACATCATGTCCCTCTCTGATTAATAGCACCTTCCAGCAGTATGTCCATAGATGTGAGGCAAAGCCTTATCGTTCTTGCCTCCAAAGAGCACTCCAGTTGTACCCTCTCCAAGACATATATGTTTGTTCTCTTGGCCATCTATGGGATGTTCAGTGCTCTTCTCCAATACCAAAGCGTCAGTTCTTTTTCTGTCATCCTTATTCATTGTCTTGGTCTGGGATGCATAGCTAGTAACAAGAAAGACTATGGCCTGAATCAGATGTACCTTAGTCCTCAAAATGACATTATTACTACTTCTCAATAATTTGGAGAGGTCCCTAACTGCAGATTTTCCCAGTGCTATGTAGTCTCCTTGTTTCCTGACTGCTGGGACCAAGGGTGTTAATTGTGGATTCAAGCAAGATGAAGCTGTTAACAGTTTCAGTCTCTTCTCTGTCCATCATGACACTGCCTGTTGGTCCAGTGGTAAGAATTTGACTGTGTGGATCATAATAATTTTTTGTAATAGCCAAGATGAAATTTTCTGTTTTGACCTATGAAAGATTAAGGATCAGCTTGTCATATTCATGACCTAGAGATCTATTTATCTAAGCTACACTTAAAATTACAAAGGCAAACCTAGATTTATAATTATGTTAGTAAGGAAAATATATTTTGTGCTGAACTTTGTACTTTTAGGGTGTCAGATGCCATAACGGTTAGCCAGGGTGGACAGTTTCTGGTGGAGCCCCTTGTTTAAGACATATTTGGAAGCAGGAATGGCATCCACTTCCTAAACCACATGCCTCTGGAAACTCTGTGAACTTTTATAAATGTTGATAGTTATAGAAAGGCTTCAGCCTTTTTGTTTATAAGGTCACTATTACCCGTGCTTGATTTAACAGCAATCAACAACAACCACCACCACCCTATATCAGGAGCTATGGTAGCCTAGTAGTAGAAATGGTACTGCTATCCCAAAGGCGTGCAAGTTCAAATTCACCAGCTGCTCTGCAGATGAATGATGGGACTCCCCTCTCTTGAAGTTAACTGCCTCTGGAAACCCTCTGGAGAGTCAGCTATGGGACAGTTTATACTGAGTGGTACTCAACAATAACATCCTATATTGCCTTCAGCATTTGTGTCTTTCTATGTACAAAGACCATTAGGTTCATCAGTTTGAAAAAGAAACATTCTAATTGTTCCATGTAAAAGGAGGGTTGACCTTATAGTCTGAGAAGGTGCTGTCTCATTTCAGTTCATCTGAGTAAAAGCCTTTCAGGGAACTATCCATCCTAATAATTGTATTCGATCAGCCTAGTTCTTACTTTGGTCGTTGTAGTTGTAGTTTAAGAATTAAACCATATAGTTCTTTATTTCAGATTTTGAGGGGTTTTAGGGTTTGTTTGTGGGTTTTGTGTTTTTTTTTTTTTTTTTTTTTTTTTTTTTTTTAACAAATGAACCACATAGTCCTTATTTTAAACTTATGTTTTGGACTTTGAATTCTTTATCCTACCTGTATTTAACAAAAACTGTAGAAATAGGCTTCAAATATTTTCCTCTCAAAACTAAAAAACATTTACCGCTATTTATTTAAAATATAAATACTTCATCCTGTGGCTGACTTTTAACTATCTGTGCCACAGATGTTGGTTTGTTTGTTTATAAAGATATAATTTTTTTAAGGCTCTAGACCTAGAAATGCCAAAGTAATTAATTTTTTCTTTTAATTTTTAGAAGCAACTCAGTGTTAATGGTACAAATTGTTCCTAAATTGAAACACTTTCAGATTAATGGACTTAAGATAAATGGGTGCTATTTCCTATAAGTAGTAATATAATGAGATATGGCTTCGACTACATATCACATACCAAATCTCACTCCCTATTTCTTTATCTCATTTATTCATTCAACAAATATTTATTGACCACCAAAAAACGTTTCAGACATCATGCAGGACTCTGGTGATGGAGGCCAGAGGTGAAGGGGAACCTGGTACACACCTCTAAGTAAAACGGGCACTATGGCTGGGGTATGTCATATAGAGGAAAGGAATCTAGGCTGTGAGAGAAAGAGAAGTATAATAAATTGTTAGGCATGTACTCACATTATGGAAAACCATGTAGGTATAAGATTTGGTCTTTATCTGAAGAAGGAGGAAATCATTGAGAAAAATTTAAAGCCAGAGAGTAATATAATCAGATCCACATTCTAGAAAGATTAGGATGCAGCAGTGTGGAGAAAGGATGAGATGGGGCAAGCTTGGAGGCAAGAAGGCAGTTTAGAAGAAAATAATCTGGAGTAGTATCGTGACAATAAGGATGCAAACAAGTTGGTATTTAAGATGTAATCATTTTTAAAGAAATCTCTGGTGGCTTCGGTGTTAAGGAATTATGCTGCCAACTCAAAGGTATGCAGTTCTAATCCACCAACTGCTTTGTGGGAGAAGGAAGGACAATCTCCTTTTAGGTGATTTACTGCCTCTGAAAACCCACTTGGATGGTCAGCTGTCCGACTCAACCATTAATGAAGATATTCCTGAAAGAATGACTGAACTAACTATAATCTTGGTGAATAAAGTATATTCCTTTTCAGTGACAGCCACGTGGTGCTGAAAGAGCTTCTAAATTATACCAGTAAAATGGATCAAAGAGTTGTTAGCATTGCAACTGGCCAGGCCATGCCCATTAACATTCATGTTCATTATTTATCATGATGATAATAATCACAGTGTAGCACTTGAGCTGTTTTCTCAGTCACAGAGCTAAGAGTTTTCCATGACTTATCTTTTTTAAGTATAGGAGACTTACAGGTACATATTACTGTAATCTCCATTTTACAAGTGGCAGCTGGGGCTTAGAGAGGTTATAAACTTTGTGTAAGGTCACACAGCTCGTACATGGTAGAGTTACTATTGGAGCCTCTGACTGGCACAACTGGGATTAGAACCCAGATCGATCCTACCTCATTACTTCTAAAATGTTTACTTTATTGGTGTTAATTTCTGATATGCTGTACAATTCCTCCTTTGCCCAGTCTTGCATCTAAACATATTTCTGCATAAATAAGATAAGCTACAGTTTGTGTGAGCATGTAGTAAAGTGTATTGAGTATTTGTTTTCTTTTTTCCAATTAGAGTAAGTCAAGTGTGAAGGAAAATGGATGGTAAGGCATGTTGAGGAAGCAATGAAATCCATATATTTTATAATTATGTATTTCCAAGCCAATATTTCCTTTGGAAAAAGAATGATTTGAATGTGTTCCTTTACCTTGTTTGTCCACTAGGCACAGAAGGAATATTATTAGGATTATTTGTCCCATTGTGGATGATAAAGCCTGAAGAAACCTCACAGGTGTACACTCTGATAGAAGCTGTCAGATTACTGCTTTAATGAGGGGCACTGCACAGAACCACAATTAGAACTCACGTCTACCCCTTCAGGCCCACGTTGTGTATGAACTTGAGTCAGAGTGACGCACTAGGAATGAGGCACGGAGTGGCCAGCTCTTCCTGGCAGTTTTACAAGAAGGTCTTTGCTATTTCTAGAGGAGGTAGTGGTCTTTCATTTAGAAACCAATAGACAAAAAATGTCAGTAAACTATTAGGATCCATTTGAATGAGAGTATTTTTCTACTTGCAGAATGATAAAATGAAAATATCTGTTTATACAACTTTGTCTTAACACTTTATGTAGCATCAGCTTCTGAGAGATAACCGAGCTGAGAGAGGACACAAGAAAAACTGTTCTGTGAAAACAGCTAGCAGGTAAGCAATTCAAAATCACATTTAATTCTCAGTGTGCCTTTGTCTTCCATTCAAATCTGTGTGTCGTGAATTGCAGTTTGGGTTGCCTGTGAGTCTTGAAAGCTTGCTTAAAATATTTTATGTATTATTCAGCAGAATGTATTTAGGATTATTAGTAATGAAAAGACTTTTATTGAATTCCAAAACTATCATTTTATTTCCTTTTAAATTTAATTTGTTTTTTTTTAAACTGGTTAAAAATATTTTGCAAATGAATTTTTTTTCTCACATAATTAATGTAAAAAATTATAGATCAGGATTTAGCATAATTAGTTTTAATTTAAAAACCAAAGAGCAGTGGAGTTAATCTTTTATCCCCTTAAAACATAAAGGATACTTGGACTTTACAAACAACATGTGCATTTATTTTGTTATTATATTGCTGCTTTGTGACATTGAGTCAGAACTGACTGATAACTGACCCTGCAGAGAGTTTTCAGAGATTGTAAATCCTTTGGGAGGATATTGCCCATGTTTCTCCTGTGTGCAATTGCCCAGTGGTTCAAACCTCCTGCTTTTGGGTTGGCAGTGCAACTCCTTACCCACTAGTCTTCCAAGGCTTCCTAATAACATATAAATGAATAAATGATTGGGAAGCAATCACTCCTTTATAAATATGCTCTTAGGTTCTTGCTTATTATTATATTGTTAACTCAGTGATTCATTTTCCACTTTAATGTAAAGAATTTTTCACAATTTAATAGCCTTAGACAATATATTTCTCAGATTTTCAATGTGGTATATCTGAAGACCGTTTAGATGAAAATGGTTACTCTTCTTGTGAGAATATTGAGAACTGACTCAAGAGTTACACTTAATTTCATTTTGAACAGGGTGAGCTAGCAGACCTCAGCAGCTGTTATAGCATCTCATGGCTTTTCATTGATAGTGTACTACTAGTCGTGTGCTTAGCATTCCAAAACAAGCAATATAACTATATTTTTTATTTTTATTTGTATTAATATTTTATCAAAAGTTTACAGCAAACTTGGATTTCTAGTCATTCATTGTTGCATATTTCCCTCCCTACACCCCCCCCCCCGTTTGCTTCTCTCTTTAAAATAATCTTTAATTGTTGCACACTTTTCTCCTCTCCCACAGCCACCCACCCCCAGTCCACTTTGCTGTGCACCTCTTACTCTGGACTATTGTCATGCAAATAATACCTAATCATTTCTTTCTTTTAGACAATTCTTTCTCTCATTTATTTCAGTGAAGTGTCCATTATTTATCCCCTCTTTTCTTAGGTTCCTGTCAACCCCCATGTCAGTCCTGTTTTATAACAGTGCTATTATGCAGTATTTGCCCTTTTGTGACTGAAATATTTCACTGTTTCACTCAGCATAATGTCCTCCACAGTCACTCATTTTTTATAATAGTTTATGAGTTCCTTGTTTTTCAGTGCTGCATAGTATTCCATTGTGTGAATATAAACACAGCTTCTCTATCCATTAATTTGTTGATTGGCACTTGGGTTGCTTCCATCTCTTAAGCAATGCAACTTTAAAGTAATATGTTTAATGCCAGCTGAGAATTCCCACTATCTGCAAAAGCAAATGGAAATCTTAGCATCATTAGTTTGAAACCAAACTCAATGCTATCAAGCTGCTTCTGACTCATAGTCGCTCTATATGATGTCATAGAACTGTCCTATAGCATTTCCAAGTCTGTAATCTTTACAGAAGCAGACTGCCAAAACTTTATGTTGAAGAGAAGTTCATGTATTTAAACCATTGACCTTTTGGTTAGCATCCAGCACTTAACCATTGCCCCACCAGTGCAGCCATAATTTAGATAATAAATATTTTGCAAATATGTTGTTGTTAAGTACCGTTGAGTCGATCATGACTCATAGCAACCCTATGAACAAAAGACTTGAACCCTGTTCTATAACTATCATCATTTCTCTAAGTGCTTAGAGTTTCCAGAGGCATGTTGTTTAGGAAGTGGATGCCACACATGTTCCCAAACCTGTCTTAATCTGAGAACTCCATCAAACACTGTCCAGAATGGTTAACCATTCTGACATGTGACACACTAGTGGCACAGCATTCAGCATCACAGCAACCCTAAGTTACCTCAGTACAGCAAATTGACAGACCAGTGCTGTACTACTTAGAAGAATGTTTGTCTCTAACACAATTAAAAACCAAGATAAAAAACAAACAAGCAGTCCATTCCCGGCCCTCAACCAAAGCAAGTATATAAGGAAATAATTTATCATCTGTGGCATTCACTAGAAAAAAGAAAACAAAAATAAAACAACAATACTTAATATGAAGTATATTAGATAATATATGGATAAATGTTTACAGAAATAAAATATGCAAGAAACAAACTGCTATTAAAAATAATCAGACAGAATTGTAAAAGAACCAAATGCAATAATGACAAATGTGATTGTTGAAGAGATCACTAATGAATTAGAAGGTCTATCTGAAGAAACATGCATTGTAGAGTAAAAATATGAGGAGATGGGAAATATGCAAGAGTGGTTAAGAAACAGAGAATAATGATATGTTGCATCAGAATCATTAATGGGAAATATCTAAAGGTTGTAAAACCATGATAATTTGAAAAGATGAAACTACTGTTCTAAAACTATAGATGCAAAGAGCACAGTGAACACCAAAAAGATTAAATGAATAGAAATCTATACGGAGTAGTATATTGTATTATACCATACACAGAGAAGAGGTCTGGAAAACAAGTCCAGAGAAAAAGTGCAGATTACCAACCAAGAAAATGACAAATGGCATTTAAACAACGGATTTTTGGAAGCAACGATGGAAACTAGAAGACAGTGGGATAATCGTCAGTTTACTGAGAGAAATACACTGTCTGTGCTTGAAGAATACTAATGAATATGAAAATTCTCTGCTAAGGAAAGACGGTCTGAGATTTAATAAGAATTGATGTTGAGTCAATAAACTTATAAAAATATAGATCAGTTTAAATATTTATTATTTCTACAAGGTGAAGTTTAGAATATGTAATATGTAAAACTTTTAAAAGGACAGATTTAAAATAGTTGACACAAATAAATAGCATGTTAAAAAATTTTAAAAAGAAATAGCATGTAGTTAAGTTAGTGGTGGTAGTGATTATAATGTGCAGTCCAAGATTCTTGAATGATTTAAGATGTTTATTTTAGTGACTGGTTAAATGAATGTCACTTGATAAGACTATATTAATTTTTCAAGGCAAGATGTTGATGGTAACTACTAAATAAATAGACATGAGTAGGTAACTTCCAAAACAACAGAAGAAGTAAAATGAAATAATGTACAGTAAAATAAGTCCACAAAGAAAATATCAAAGGGGGGGAACAGGAAGTGATACACATAGAAAGCATAATGTAAATGAGTAATAAATATTAGTGACCACAGTAAATATTTATGGGTTAACTGGAACTAACAGAGTAAGGGGACGCTGCATGGTTTAAAATTGAGAAAAGTGTGCCCCAGGGCTGTATCCTTTCTCCATACCTATTTAGTCTATTTGCTGAACAAATCATCTGAGAAGGTAGAATATATGAAGATTATGGCTTCATGTTTGGAGGAAGGCTGATCAACAACCTCTGTTATGCACCTGACACAACCTTCCTTGCTGAAAGTGAGGAGAGCCAAAAGCACTTACTACAGAGGATCAAAGACCTCAATATGGATTATTACATTTCATTATCAAGAAAACAGAAATTCTCAGCACTGGACCAGTAAGCAGCATCACAATGGATGGAGAAAAGATTGAAACCCTATCCTGTTTTATGTTATCCTCATTTCTTTATCATACTTGAGCCCATTACTGCAGTCATTATGTCAGTCTGTCTTGATGAAGATCTCCCTCTCTTTCTCTGACCCTCTACCTTTCCAAGGATTATATCCCTTTTCAAGGAACAGCCCTTCCTAACAACATGCCCAAAATATGTGTGTTGAAGTTTCACCATCCTTATCTCTAAGGAACATTCTGCCTGCACTTGTTCCAGTACATATCTGTTTGGAGTGGGGTTTGGGTTTTTGTTTGTTTGTTTGTTTGTTTGTTTTTGCAACCCCTTGGATATTCAGTGCTCTTTTCCATAACACTGCAACTCAAATGCATCAGTTCTTCTATCATCCTGTTCCTTGTCTTAACTCTCAGATGCATAGCAAGTGGCTGGCCTAAATTAGGCACTCTTTAGTCTTCAGTCTGATGTTATTGCCTTTAGTAATGCTACAGCTGAAGGCAGGGTTCAGATTTGTTGTTCATAGGGTCAGTATGAGTTTGATGCAACTCAACAGCAACTAACAACAGCAAAGCACAGAGCAGAAAATTTCTCATCTTTTTCCCACTGTGCCACAGTGGATTTCAACCATCAGCGACAAGCTGCCTCCGAATTAGCAGCACAGCTCCCAACAGACTTCACCACCAGAAGAACCCAGTAATCCACCATGATAGCACTCCCTCCTTAATCTATCCATAAAGCTCATGCTCTCTGTATTAAATGTCATTAAGTTAGAAATCAGTAACAAAATGTCTTACCTTTTTTTAATTAAAAAATACATCTTTTGTGTATAAAAAAAGAACATCATTGATCATAATAGTAAAACTTGTACCTGTACTTAGTTGGCAGTTGGAGGAAATTTCACTGCCTTGAATGGTTGAAGTAGGAAATAAGACCTGGTTTCTTTTTATGTTCTGATCAAGAGTCTCAACGACAAAAAAAAAAAAATAAAAAAAAAAAAGAGTCTCAACGACATTACTGCCTTCCTCCCCCAAGATTAAACTAGAAAAATTTTTTTAAAAGAAAATTACTCAGAAGTTCTCCAATTACAGGAGCTATTCTGAGTTGGAGGATGCTAGCTGAGTAATCCAGCTTTGGTCTAAAGGAGATAAGTGTGACTGAGGGAGAATAAGAAGGAAACGTCTAGATTTTTGTACTTTTCACTGGCCCTTGCTTTGTAACGAAGAGTGCATGCCTTACC